GCAAAATTCGATCAAATCGATCGAGAATCTCATCATCTGTTAGGCGGGCCAACCGACTTATAAAGGAAAAAAGAAAGGGCGTCAATGTCACAGAACCTTTCTTGACTGACGCCAAGAATCCCATTATTGATCGAATCGGCATTGGTCAATTCCAAATCTACCGTTTTAACACTCAGAAAAAGACAAGAGCTAGGTAAGCATGGTCAGATACCCCCACAATAACGTATAAATAGTGGTCGTTCACGTCAGGAAGGAAAAGAAGAAGGAGGGAGGACGGATCCCAAGGGTAACTTCAAAAGCAAACATGCTTACCATATGGCTGCTCATCAGTCTCACTTTGCTCTCCTACGCTCCTAGTGGTTCCTCTAGTGAGTCCCGTTCTAATGGTTCTTCCATTCAGTGTCATCACTGTCATAATAGGGGTCACATAGCTGCTCGTTGTCCTCAACGTGTCCTAGCCCTAGAACATGAGTGACGCAACCTACCAGAGAGTGAGGAGGTCGTTACGTGAGCGTTACATGACCGCGAACATTCCATTTCTTATGGAAGGAGAAGGGACGCCCTATTAGTGAGGATAGATGTAATTTAGTGAGGCTTAGTTACTGCTTCGAGATACGAAGAAGGAGCTCAAAGCCTTTCCTTCCCCTCGATCTGAGAATGCCCGATTCGCCGAGGGATATTCCAATCTAAGCCGAGTACTAGAAAGCCAAAATAGCATACGGTCAGAAGCGTCCGCCTTAGGGCAGGATGACGAAACTTCAGGAACAACCAGCCAAGAAGTTTCTACTGCCACAGATTCTTATCCGGTCATTCGACCATTTGGTATAAGATTTTGGGCTATTAACATAGCGCCTTCTTTCTATTTCTTGCTTCTTTCGGGAAGGAATCCTACATAAATTCAAGTAGTGGCCTGTGCGTCGTAGTACCTTGTTCTCTATCCCATTTCTATATTAGTAATCAAAGGCTTTTAAAAGCCTCTGAAGTCAATGCTCCTTATCTTAGATTCTTCGTCGAATTAGCTTACCTGTGCACTCTTTAGACTATTGAACTACTGGACTGATGGCCCATTTAGGAACATATGCAAAGGGGTAAAGAGAGTATTTTTGGCGCTTTGCTTCGTTCGTAGGATCGACAAAGTTGACCTCGACTATAAATCCGAGGAATTCAGTAGTAAACGCGCTGGGCCGTAAGGCGAAGGGTCCGAAGGAGATGAGCTGCGCAGCAGCGAAGAGGACATATATAAAACATCCTAATAGCAGCAGAAAGGAATTGCATTTTGAATGGTGAAATACTTGGAACGAGCATTAAAAGTCCAAGTCGAAATTAGTGTGATATGTAAAGTAACAAGATCGTGACTACAACAATGACCGAGCGTCGCAACGCGGCAAATTTATATTTATAAAATTTTCCTCGACTTACCCCTACCAACAAGTAGTAGTGATGAGCAAGGGTCGATCCCACAGGGAGTGTGGTATAAACCGTGATTTTATTATATTAATTAGATAAAAATAAAAGGGGGGGATTTGATTTAACACGAAACTACTAGCAAAAACGATAATTAAACTAAAACTAGAGATTAATGATTAAAATGCAAAGATGATGAAATTGAAAATAAATAAATAATCTAGCAAATATGAGAATGAAATCGGTCCTAGGTCGGTTTACACCCTCGATTAACAAGTCCAATTAATGCATTTATCAAGTTTCACTCGTCTTCTAAAACTACCGGTCCTAGATAGCAATAAGCTCTGCTACCCGAATTTTCCCTTAATTATACTTAATCGAAATAGGCTCTTCAATTAATTCTAACTAGCAAATAACTCGGAATAAGCTCTCCTAATTTAATCCACTAGTTGCATTAGAATCTAGAAAAATAGACCGATCTAAGCCACAAACAGACAAGCTCGGTTCATGTAACTTATGTTGTGTTATCCCTAACAATGCACGACTGTTAGTTGCTACAAGCGAAATAAGAACTACGACAATTACACAGATCGAAGTCTTAAATCTAGCAATTAACATGCAATCCTCAACTTAGGTGATCAAGCTAAATTAAAGAACACATATTATGACATGAAACTAGAATAACACAATCAATTTTATACGACGAGTAAAACAAAATAAAATTGCATTAATCAAACATAGTCACCGAGGGTTCAACGTCTCTAGAACCGAAATAGTGTTTAGCTACTCATAGCTAAATGATAAAAACAAATACTAATATCCATGTTCTTCAATAAAAATAAAATAAAACAAATAAAAAATAACTCCCTTAATCCTTAAAATAGTCCACGACCAAATTGTTGTCTAGCAAATGAAGAATGCTTCTTCTTCAATTTCCTACAGCCCTCTCTTTTCCTCTCTGTTCACGTGAGAATGATAAGTCCCCAACAAGTTTTTGATTATTTCATTTGCAATGCCAAATTAAGAATCCAACTCCCACCAAACTCTCCAGCACAAAAATGAGAGTCCCTCCATTCCAAACTTCTTTGCCAAGTTAACCAATCCAAATTAAAATTCCAACTTAGCCTGCCACGCATGTCACCAAAACAAAAATTCCACCACATGATTTGAGGGCCATCTGCGTGCATGTGAGGCAAGTACTGATAATCCACGTCATTACTCATTAAGCAGCTACTTCACAATTAGCTATATCATCAATTAGGGCCTAAACTGCAAAATAAACACAAAATCCGATTATTGGTGTATGCCCGTTCATAAAATAAAATACGTGAGAAAACTTGAATAATACAATAAAATCCAATACTCAAATATATGAATTAAACCCCAAAATAGTACAAGATTTCTCACGTATCAAACAACAACAACAAAGCCTTTTAGTCCCAAACAAGTTGGGGTAGGTTAGAGATAAAAACCCAATAGAAACAGTGGTAAAAAAAAAAAAAAAGAGCAAAAGTCACGGTTCCGGCACGTTGATCGCTAGCCTCCAAGCGCTCCTATCCACCGCTAAATCCTTGGAGTATTTAAATTTTTAAGGTCTCTCTCAACCGACTCTTCCCAAGTGAGTTTAGGCCGACCTCTACCTCTCTTAACAACATCGGTCCGCTGTAGAACTCCTCTACGCACCGGTGCATCAGGAGGCCTCCGTTGGACATGTCCGAACCACCTCAGCCGATGTTGAACCAATTTCTCCTCAATTGGAGCCACCCTGACCTTATCTCGAATATCCTCATTTCGGATTATATCCCTTCTTGTGTGCCCGCAAAACCAACGCAACATCCGCATCTCTGCTACACTTAGTTGTTGGATATGTTGCCTTTTTGTAGGCCAACATTCAACACCGTATAGCATCGCCGGGCGAATCGCCGTCCTATAGAACTTACCTTTTAGCCTTTGTGGCACCCTCTTATCACAGAGAACGCCCGAAGCTTGACGCCACAACCAACCGGCTGCAATTCTATGCCTAACATCTTCATCAATGCCGCCATCCTTTTGTAGCATCGATCCTAAATATCGGAAAGTCTCCTTCTTGGCCACCACTTGCCCGTCAAGGCTAATGTCACCATCATCATGAGTAGCCATGTTGAAAGCGCACGTCATGTACTCGGTCTTCGTCCTACTAAGTCTGAAGTCTTTCGACTCTAACGTGTCCTTGCACAGCTCTAACTTCCTATTTACCCCTGTCCTACTCTCGTCAACTAGCACCACATCATCAGCAAAAAGTATACACCAAGGGATATCACCTTGTATGTCCCTTGTGGCCTCATCCATCACCAAGGCAAATAAATAAGGGCTCAATGCTGACCCCTGGTGTAGTCCTATTTTAATTGGGAAGTCGCTGGTATCGCCCCCACATGTTCGGACACACGTCATCTCATCTTTGTACATATCCTTGATGAGGGTAATGTACTTAAATGGGACTTTGTGCTTTTCTAAGGCCCACCACATGACATTCCTCGGTACTCTGTCATAAGCCTTCTCAAGGTCGATAAAGACCATGTGCAAGTCCTTCTTTTAGTCCCTATATTTCTCCATCAACTGTCGTATTAGGAAAATCGCCTCCATGGTCGACCTTCCAGGCATAAACCCAAATTAGTTTTGGGTCACACTCGTCACTCGTCGTAGGCGATACTCGATAACTCTCTCCCAGAACTTCCAGGCATAACAAGATCGTGACTATGTGCGTTATATCAAACTTTATGTCGTCTCTGATGTTATTGTAACATGAAACAATGTCGTAAATAATTTGTAATCACACACAATCTCAATGTTTAGATCTATTTAATTAGCTAAGAGAATATTCACCGACACTTTAGATATTTAAAGTGAAAATTTATTTATAGCACAAATAAAATATACAAAATCAATGTGTGAAAATATACACCAAATCTTAAATAAACGAGTTTCAAATTTAAGGTAGACCAAATAAATCACTAAAAAAAATAAATAAATAAATAAATAAATAAAAAATTATACAATTCCATTTTGTATTTGATTAAACCTGATCGTGGATTCAATTTTAAAATTTATATTCTAGTTTTCAACTTTGATAAAATGATATATTAGTACCAAAACTAAAAAAAAAAAAAAAAAAAAAAAAAAAAAAAAAGAAAAAAAAAAGGGCAACGAAGAGAAGAACAAGGGAAAAATTGAAACAGAAGACTAAAATAAATTCATAAAAAAGGTGGTGGCTTGGAGCCTCGTGCGGGCGGCGTACGGCGAGAGAGGTCGTCGAGCAATGCCGAGACCCAGTAACTTAAGTTGAATGAGCTTCCTATGCTAATCAATTTCAAGAATCTAGGACTACTGTCCACCACAAATTTTGAAGACAGAAACAAACATGAACATTAATAGCTATCACTTCCGTCAAGCTAAAGCGCAAATTAACTACTGTTACAGGTACACGAATGAAGCTACAAACCAAGTCCAACAACACAACGCAAGGATGAAAACAAACAAACTTCTAAATCAGACACGCTTACGGTTTTATTAAAAAGGTCCTTCCACTCGAACACCCATCCATGTTTCTCTTATCCATTTCACCTCAGAGTCTGAGAAGCTGCCGAGCTCAAGAGTGCAGACCCAAACACATCATTACAGAGGCTGCCATTATCGGTCAAACCCTTCTTCTGGTCCCAGCTGCTTCTCGGGCTGCTCCCTGAGCCCGAGCTGCTGTTGGAGAGCGAGACAAAAGTCGACTTCTGCAGCACGCCTGTAGGGGATGAACCCGAGAGCTGCCAGCTCAGCACCTCCCCCAGAGGTCCTCCTAGCTGGTTCCCCCACGCGATGGGCTGCTGCTGTTCCTTGTGGACCGGCCCGTCGAGATCACGGCCCACGCCCAGGCCCATGTGGACTATCGGGTCCAGCTCATGGGGGCCCCCCAGGAATGGGCTGGTTTTGGCCCGTGCTGGGGAGCATGGGAAACCTGGGTCGGCCATTGGGATGGACATTGAGAGCTGGGTCCAGTCGGGTTTGAGCGGTTCGTGCCATGGAGCTGAGGTGGCGCGCTGGGATTGGTCCTTGGGGCAGTCCATGAAATTTGAGGAGATGACTCCAAATTTCGAGTCAGATGGCTCTTCGAACGTGAGGTGATCCTTTTGAAATGGGAATTCTTGTTGTTGTTTGGGCTTCAGAGTTGTCGTGGGAGGTATCAAGGAGAGTCCTTGAAATTCTTGTGGCCTGCTATGCACCAAAACCTCAAAAGTCAGAAACATTTTATTAGGAAAAAAAAAATGCCATTCTACAACTTGATTCGCATATGTAAGCTATTTTTTATCGTGTTGCACATCAAATTTTCAATAATGATACTACTAGGAATTGGCTCAGTTTCAGATTTGATTATACCAAAAACAAAAAAAACACTTTCATATGGATGATGATACATGCTCCATAACATAAAATATCAGACAGTAGTTGCATATCTTGGAGGAAATCAAGTTGTTACAAAAATGGAACACAAAATTTGGTTATGAACATTAATTTCTAAAGGTAGAAATGCTTCACCAAATTTGTCTTCTCCTCGATTACGCCATTAATGAAAGCTAGTCATTGAAAGGGTACGTAATAATCACATGTAAACCTACTACACACGAATCCATAGGGTACAAGTGGCGACTTGTAAAAAGATGCATTCTTTAGCCTCGGACATGTCGAAAAAACATGTTTATATTTTTCAAGAACATTTATTGCGGAAAAAAAAAACGACACGCAAGTGAATCCAAAATAAACTGTTCACCTGCTAATGAGATAGTCAGTGGAAATAGGCGCATTGGTTGGCAGCGGCAGTAAGGGCTTGGAAGCGGTGGTTGGTTGAGGCTGAGAGAGAGTGTGGCCATTATTTTGGCCTTCCACAGGCTTTCTTGAACGGTGGCGGCCTCGATTGATGTGCCTCTCACAGTATTTCTGATCGGGGACGGCATCTCTCGAGCACCGCCATTTTTTGCCATCTGTCCTCCTACACCTACCCGGTTCTGGGTCGTTGCTCCCGGAGATACCTAGATGGAATGGACCCCACCCCACTTCCAAAAAACAAATATGTAATTACCAAGTTACAACTCACTCATATGAACACAAATATAAGTACTCAGTCAGTCAAAAAGTTGCAACTTCAGAAAAAGAATAAAAATTATTGTCAAAGGGTAAATTAAAGAGATGATCTTACATAAGTTAGGGGCGTAGGTAGCTGGTAAAGTGATCGAATAGAGAGATCTCTTTAGGGGAACAAGTAAATTGGAAGGAACAGGCACATTCGCCACAATGTGCTTATAGATCAAAGCCTGATGTTCGAGTTCCATCCATTGGGAGGGAGTAAAGGGTCCTTTCAGCTTCGCAAAGGGTCCACGGCCACCCCCGATCAGCCCGAATCCTGACAAGCAAATAGCATGAGGCAACAAAAGAAAATTCGAATATTTTCTTTCACACGCTATTAACAGAAAATACAGTGTGAATCCAAAATTTATATGGATCCAAAGCATATATATAGCACCATAGAGTGCCATGCTGGTAAAACTACAGTAAACTGGAAAGCAAAAGGGAGAAGATACAAATCTTCAACTGTTTGCTTAACTGTTTTTGTTCTCACAATAGAAGAATCTAAATGTCTATCATATATTTTATTCTTTAGCTACTTGGTTTACCTAACATATGAAAACATTTTCTTTTTGTAGACAGACTCAATAGACAAAGGAAATAAAGAACGGGAAATGCTACGGTGTCGTTACGGTACCATCCCGTCGGGTGTTTTAACCGTTGGATCGGGATGGTACCGTAACGGGACTGTTGCATTTCCCATAAAGAACAAGGAATCTCTAATTAGTAGCACAAATGAAGACCCTCCATTAGCATCCTGTGCCAGAAGATAGTGCCAACAAATAATCTGATTCTTTAATGTTAGTATATTATTAAGCAAATAGATTTATAGACATCACATTCATCATCCAAATCTCCAGGTAACAATGGAAATAAAAAAAATAAATAAATAAATAAAAACATTAAAAATAGAATTTTTCACACTACAGCTTCAAAACTTCAACTAAAAATGAAAAATTTATGTACAAAAATAAAGCCTACCTCCCGCTCTACTGTGATGCTCATCCTGGTAGATAGAAAACGCTATACTCCGGCCAGAACCGCCGCTGCAATGAGGCTCCCCCGACGAAAACGAGAGCATTTTCTGGCCGGCGGCATCGTCCGCCGGCGGCCAAACAATGGATCTCCCGAACGGAGTACTAATTAGGCTCTCGGCAGCTTTCCTCGAAGAAAAATCAACTTCCCCAGGCCTAGGCATCTTTGACAGCCTCCACATGTTATTACCATTGTTGTTGTTATCCTCGGCAAGATCAGATCTTTGGTGCTTCAGATGTCCAGATCCATGGCCCTTGTCGTCTTTGGGCTCGTTTGAAACCAGAAAAGACCCATCAAGATTGGAGCTTTTTCTATGGCACGCCAACCCATAATCCATTTTTTTTTTTATTTTTTAATGGAGAAAAGATGAAGAAGATTTATACTTGCAGCATCCTTACACACGAGCATGAGTTCACTCCAAGCATCTTTCTTGAAAAGTTTTTGAGGGGAACAAATTAAAAATTGGAGAGAGAAAAATGAGAAGCTTTGGGGGAGAATTGAAAGAGTGGTTGTTTTTCTTTTTAGGTTTTTTTTTTTATGTTTGATGAGGAGAAACAAGATTGATACTTGAAAAGAGAAAATTATTAATAAAAAAAATGCTAAAGAGGAAACAAACGGGAGAGAGACAAAATAAGATCTCGAGCATTACCATGTTTGGCCCCAAGGTTATATGATTAAGGTAGGACCAAAGTTACTAATATGTCATTAATGATGTGATCAATCTTACTACTATTGTTTATAGAAGATGCTTACGGAACCATTCCATCAAGGTTTGTAACCGTTAGATCAATTATTTTTGACAGTTATATGATGAGTTAACAGTTACAAATCTCGATGGAACGAAACCTTAGCACTTCCCATTGTTTATACAATATTTTTGCTTGAGTCGGACTAATCTCGGATCCATTCATCATATATTAGCTCGGGTTAGACTCCGACTACCAATCCAATTGTTGGGTCATCAAATCAATTGATGGAGCTGAGTAATTAATTATATAACATTTTAAATTGTATTTATATTATTTTATCTGATAATTATACATAAAATAATAAAATAAGTTATTTATGTGCACATAATTTATTTTAAAAATAAAAAGATAAAAAAATATATTTAATGGTCTGACAAGGTCAATACCCAGATCAATCGAGTCAAGGTTGAGTTGGCCAAATTTTGATCAAGTGTAATTGGAATTTTATAAAGTCTGACAAGGATATAACTGTGTTAAGGGCTCCTCACCATTCAGTCCAAAATTCATTTCGACTAGACTCAGTCCAGGGTTGAGCCGCCAGGTTGGTCTGGGTTCCAGAACATCTTGTATGTATATTATAACAATATTTAAATTTATAAAAAAATAACGCAGTCTAGTTTGGATAACGCACCATTTATTTTTCAAATATATGGTGTTTCATTGCCTCCACTCAAATACCGCGGTATGATAGATCTTCATACTCGAGGATAGAGTTAACTGCCCACATATTATGGTAGATATAGAAGTCAAGAAATCATTTTCCAACAAATTCAGAGACCAGCCAAGGATGTGGTGGACATAGCACAAAAAGAATGGTTGGAGTTTATAGACAGAAGTTAGGCCTTAACAGAATATCAACTAGGTTCTTTGAGGTTCAGTGGTGGATCTTCTTAAGGCTGAAATGATGTACGTAGACCTGGCCACCTTAGGGTAGATTGTTATTTTGTGATGATTGTGTTGTTTAGATTTGCAGGGCTTATTGATGATGATGATGTTGTAATTGTTAGGTATTGTTTTGTTGTGATGGTGGTATTGTAGAGCAGGGCTCTGTAGAATAGTCTCTGTTGCTCTTAGGGTTGATTGTCATTTATGACACCAAGTGGTGATTCTCATTGTTATGGCTAGTTATCCATCGAACTTTGTATATTTGATGTTCTAATTTAATCTATAGTGGTGATCCTCATTGTTATGACTATTTATAATTGAACTTTGTATATTTGATGTTCTGATTTATTTTTTTGTTTCGAAAAAAAAAATGAAATAGTATATGCAATGTTATTATATAATGAAGTTGATAGAATAAAACACCTACTTTTAGGCCGAGGCAAGTATTTTTTTATAGAGAATTATCACGTAAAATAATAATGGATTTGTGTCATAATAAAATAACAATTTGATTTATTATAAATGGAATCGTAGTAAATATATATATATATATATATTATATATTTAAAAAGTTGGTATATTGTGCATGATCAATGGTGGCTTATCACACAGAGCGACGCCAGTTTTGTGGGTGAAATTAATATTACCATCATTAGTGTTTTCATATAAAAATAAAAATTGATTAAACACAATTAATGTGTTGATATGGTTCATATATTGACAAAGGGAGGAGGCAGGCTGATGCATGCGAGCGTAATGGAGCGAACATAGCGAACGTAGCGACGGAAGCGGAGCGACCGAGCAAAGTGAGCGGAGCTGTTGGGCTAGGTCGATTAGTTGGCCCCGGGGTGCAGGGGCGGAGCCCCGGCGGTATGGACGGGGTGCGGGGGTAGAGCCCCCGCGGTACGGTACGGGGTATTTAAGTAAATTAATATTTTATAGGGTTATAGTATAACTATATGGTGTATTGATGTATTTGAGACTAATGAGAATAATAAAGATCCCTCAGCCGCCGTGGACGTAGGCACATTGCCGAACCACGTAAATCTTGTGTTGTTCGCTTTTCTCGTTTTTAATTTATATATCATATTGTCATCTTCTTTCAAGATAATGTTATAAAGTGAATACATGCCACTATGCGGCCAGTGGTAAACTACAGGTAGAATATGAATGAAGACAAAATAAAGGGGAAACGAATGAAACGGTACTTGAGCATCAATTTGATGACATGAAATAAAAAGGGAATAATATGGGTGTTTTGGGGAAGTCATAACTTTTATTGGGGTGCAATAATTTAGGAAAAATAACTAATGGCCTTGTTTGTTTAGTTGTTAGCTAGTTGTTTTGAATAGTTGATACTGTTAGCTGTTTTGACTAATTGATTATATTAATGATTTATAAAAATATATTTTGTAAAATTAGATATTTGTTGTTGGCTATTAATATATAAAACTATTTATAATTTACTTTAATGTCTTTTTTTTAGGTTATAATCATAATCACCTTAAAATATAAATTATTTACATATTTAACATATTGAAATTAATTATTAATAATAATATATTGGCAGAAATATTATTTTCTTGCCTTGAATATTTGAGCTGACCGAGTTCGGGCCAGTGGTCACCTTGACTGTTCGGCTCTAATCTCCTCCGTCGTGTTGTTCCGCCGCGTATGTTGGATTTTGAGGGTCGGGCCAGGGTTGTGGTCGGGTCTGATGGCGGTGAGCCCCAACCTGTCGACAAATCTTCGGCTTGTTGGTGATTGGCGACTTCTCTTTCGGTAAGTCTTCGATTGACGATGGATGACCCTCTATCTATTTTAGGGTTTGTTCGTCGGCGGTCGGCTGTGCTTATGGTGGGGATGTTGGTGTGTTTCTCGGTTCTCCGGTGGTCTTCGGTGGTGCTCGTCGGATCGATTTTGACTTCTGTTGGAACTACCGGAGAGGACTCTGTTTGGACTGTCGGTCGTTTTGGGTATGTGGGGTTGGCCGTCTGTTGGACTGTTGATGGGTATGCTGGCGTTTTCCGGGGTGCAGGGTGGATTGAGGGTCTTTGGGTGGGCCGAGGCTCCAGCGGTTTTGACCTCATGGGTGGTGGCTGTTGCAGAGGGGGACTGAGTCACTCTCTCCCTCCTGATTCTCTTGTGTTGGGAATTGCAGGGGTGGTTTTGGCACTACCGAGCCCGACTAGTGGTGTTAGGCGAGCTTATGTGGGGCTACAGTGGGAGCTGGCCGCTTGTCCTCCCGGTTGAGGTGGATTGATTTGGGTTAGGTTCGAGGTCTGAGTTTGGCTTCTGTACAGGCGTTCGGCAGCATTTTCGGAGGTCGGGCTCGGGCTTGGAATCTTTCGTGGATTCTTTTGTTTCTCCGTTATTCCAACTCGTTTGATTGCTTAGGAAGGGCTTTGTTATTGTTTTGTTGCTTTGTTGTTTTTTGGTGTGTTGGTTGGTAGGATCGTGTTTTAGGTTTGGGTCGTTGGTCTCGGTACTGATTACCCCGTGGGGCCGTTTCTATTCTCCTGTTGAGAGCGTTCGTAGTTTGTGTTTTGGTGTCTTTGTGTTGTGTGTCATGTGTTTTCTTTTCTAGCGTTACTAGCGTGATACCCGTCTGGGGGTTATCTAGGCCGCTTTATAGCGTGACCTCTCTTTTTTAATTTTCGGCTGTTGGCCCCGTTTGTATCTGGCTATGTTTTTCTTTTGAGTAGTATTATTACCCACTGTTCTAAAAATCGGCTAGGCGGCCGCCTAGGCGCTAGGCGGTGTCCGGGCGCCTCCGATTTGCACAAATCGGCAAAAAAAATCGGCCAGGCGACTAGGCAGGCCTAGGCGCTCCTAGGCGGCCTTGGCGGGCTCGGCGGCCAGGCTGTTAGGCGGCGCCTAGGCGGACATAGGCGGACCTAGGCGCTCCTAGGCGGGCTCGACGGCAATTTTTCAGTTTTTTTTTTATTATTTTTTTAAATATTAATTACATTATTTTGTTCTCATGTTTTCTTTAAAATATATTAATTTGATTATTTGGACTTAGGTGTGTCAATTTATTATAAATTGAGATAATCTTATTTTGTAGGTAGTTAAAATAAATAAAATATAAGGTATTTAATATTGATTTTTAGACCCCGACTAGGCGCCGCGTAGGCCCCGCCTAGGCGCTCTAGGCGCTAGGCGCTGGTCGAGCGCCTAACAGACGTCTAGCGACTTTTAGAACGCTGTCATTACCTCTTTTGTTTCGAAAAACAAAAAAAAAAAATATTTGAGCTAACGAGTGAAAAAGTAACTAAATAAAGATTAAAATAAATAATGACAGTTTTTCATGTTATAATATTGTTATTTACAAATAGGAAAGAATAAATACTTTACAATCAACACAAAAAAAAAAAAAAAAAAAAAAAAAAAAAAAAAGAAAAAGAAAAATGAAAGCATGATAGTGTTCAGCCACTTTAAACAATAATATGAATTAATTAATACTTTACACTCCACACAAAAGCAAAGAACAAAAAAAAAGCATGCGTGTTAAATCACGTAATTATATGCCGTTTTGGATAAAAATGTTGCATCCATGACCATGAGTTAGTTTACCAAACATCTGTTTTTTAACTGATCAAATTGTCAAAACAAGCTAATTTTAGTCATAAAACTAAAAATTGGCTACAACGCCATTATCCAAACAAGGCCAAACTATGATACACTGGTCTTTACCACAGCC